CTCCGCTAACCCGAGTGAAGATTCAAATAAATATTTTTCTGAAAAAATATTAGTCGCACCTTTGGGCTGTTGGCTTTCCACATGAGTTGCAACCGCCTAAATCGTCCGAGTTAGTCTTAGTCAATGGAGAAACCTGCATAGAAGCAATACAATTTAGACTTGCTATACCAACCAAAAAGTTAATTACAATAACAAAGATATAGTATTCAACAAAAACTACTGATATGATTCTGATAAAAAAGCAGCAGGTGATCGTGTATCTAATTGTAATTTATAGGGACTGATGTTATATCTTATTTTATTGAGCTCACAATTTGATATCCAAAGGCCCTACTTTAATCCTTGCATCATTAAGCATGCTTAGACTACCTTCTTTTTGGTCAATACCTAGCTCTAAATTAAAACTCTGCAAGGTCTACCATTGTGCAAGTAGCTACTTGCAATTAATATGATAGTAACCATAAACRCCACCTTCTAGGTCTACCTAAACTGTTTCTGTTTCTATGTGTATGTATAAGATGAAATGGCAGCAACATATGGTTATGTGAACGGGGACAGTGCAGGTTCAAGTTTAAAGCAAGTTAAAATAAAAGAAAGGGTGATTAAAGTACAATACACAACACACACACACACAACAATATGCAGCTATTTAACAGTCCATTTAAGTAGTCATTACCCTCAAGATGTGTTTATACCTGATGAAGAAACAATTGCTGTTGAAACTGTAAGAGCACAAACACAACCAGCTGCTGTTGAAACTGTAAGAGCACAAACACAACCAGCTGCTGTTGAAACTGTAAGCACACAAAACTGAAAAGTTTTCAGGAGCATTTACATGAATTAAATGGGTTTTGTTCATTCTACTGATATGATTTTCCTCCCAAATATGGGACGAAAGGGAAGGACATGAAAGAAATAAAACAACAATTAATAATATTTATAAACTACATATCTACCCATCAATTACAATCCATTGTAAAATAAATAAAGGTGTATTTGTAAAATTGACATCTTTCCTTTCCTTTCCTTTCTCTCCTGCTAAAACACATGAAACTTTGTTTTCTTTCCTTCGCTTCCCTTGCCTTTCTTTTCATCGCTCTCAAGGACACAAATAAAAAACATTCTTTCTTTTCCTTTCCTTTCTTTCCCTTCACTTCCTTTTCWTTTCTTCTTAAATTCARGAACACAGCGTTAAAGAGGATACATCAATTTTTAGACTCTTATTGATTGTAATACCCTACTCTGCCCCTAATCCTATCTTTCCTTGATCTCTCAATTTCATTCAACTTTCACTTATGCCCTTTTCTTGACCATGTGAAAAATTGCAATACTCRYTGTATTGCAGCTACATGTCAAGCCCTCTCAAAGACTTTCCTCGATTATTTCAATAACATGGCAAGCCAAGTTTTTGAGGGAACCGGGGAAAGGCAATTAGTAGTTAAGATCAAGTTTCTTGCATTTTTCATGTTAATGCCTACATCCTAACTGTAACAATTGTCTCCTACTATTATGGACTTGTTTCATTACCACCCCCTTACATCTCTTGAAGTTCAAATAAAAATACCCAAAACGCAGCATGTCTATATCCACTACACGGCACGAAGCATAGTGTCACTAAGCACATGAGTTCACCATGAAGGTTAGCTCCCAACAAAATTTGAAATTTATGGAGAAGAAAGGGATTAATTTAAACCATCTTTCTCATGGATGGTTATGCCTCTTATCATGTCAGCTATATTCCATGTTGACTATCGATCCTTAATTCATTCAACTTTACATAAAATGGACCAAAGGAATCCAATTGATCTCAAAGTATGAAACAGCACCTCCTTGAGTACAGGAATTAAATTAAACAGAATAGAAAACGAATATGAACCTGTAAACTGCAATCTTTTCCGGTCGCTGCGATTACGAACGAATACCTCCTCTAGATTCTGGATTGACACTGATGGATTGAAGAACATGTGAAATATATATATGCATCTCAGTCGAATTAAACGATTTCATCGAATTGGGTTAGGGGCGAYAAAAATGGGATTGGGTTTARGGATAAGCAGAGTCGATATCATCTCAATCGAATTAAACGATTTCATCGAATTGGGTTAGGGTTGCGATAAAAATGGGATTGAACGATTTCATCGATTGATCGAATTGGGTTAGGGTTGCGATAAAAATGGGATTGAACGATTTCATCGATTGGGATTAGGGTTGCGATAGATAAAAATGGGATTCGATTTCATCGATTGATCGAATTGGGTTAGGGTTGCGATAAAAATGGGATTGAACGATTTCATCGATTGGGATTAGGGGCGTGGGATTCGATTTCATCGATTGGGATTAGGGGCGATAAAATGGGATTGGGTTAGGAGCGATAAAAATGGGATTGGGTTTAGGAAGGGGGTTTAGGATAATATGCATTAGTAGGTTGTACCTAAAGCAATAGAAGTTGTTTTTAAGAGTTTAAGATATTAAGAGTTTAAGAGTTTTAACCAAATGCATAATAAGATAGTATAGATATATATATATATATATATACATAGGGGCTCATTCAAAGGAGAACTGATTAGTTTGTGGTAACTGTGAGATCCAATCTCAACCACAAATCAACGGATAAATTAGGAAACTAATAATTATAGTAGTTTGAGTTAAAATTATAATTAGGGGGCATTTTAGGTATTTTTTAAAAACTTCTCTCTCCTCTCTCATCTCTCCGATCTCCAATCTCCGGTGAACATTAATCCAGCAGGTACCAAGTAATCACAAAGATACACAATGTGATACCCATTGTGATATATTGTGATACCAACTATGATACAAACTCAAACCTTAAAAACAAAGATACAAAATATGATACCCATTGTAATATACAATGTGATACCATTGTGATATACTGTGATACCGATTTCACCGGAGGCCGGAGATTGGAGGTCGGAGAGATGAGAGAGGAGTTTTTAAAAAATACATAATATGCCCTCTAATTATAAATTTAACTCAAACTACCATAATTATTGATTTCCTAATTTATCCGTTGAGTTGTGGTTAAGATTGGATCTCACAGTTATCACAAACTAATCAATTCTCATTTGATTAGACCCCTACATACATATACATATATATATATACATATATATATATATGGAGATTCAAACGAGAACACATCCATTTTACGAGAACGCAAGAACACCCTTATCACATGCGATAATACGCGTGAAAGAACCCTGTGATGTGCGGACGACGTGTTCTACGACTTAAGTTGCGTCAAATGTTGTTTGCGTCTATGATTTAGCATAACATGCAATGGTATTGATGGAGTATGGTATCATATCAACAACACTATTATCACATGTGATAATACTTGTGAGGGGGCTTAGTGGTGCAAGGGCGACTTGACCCGCAACCAAGATCGCATCGAAAATCGCTCGTGTCTCTGATTTAGTATCACATACGTATCATATGTGATGGAATAATAGTATCCCATATCATCATCTATAATAAAAGAGTGTTTTTGCGTTCACGTAAAATGAATGTATTCTCGTTTGAACCCTTCCCATACTCAAAAATATTCACATGAATGAAACAACCGAAATAGAGAAACAACACCACCAATCGATTTTCACTAATCAAAAACCAATAATAAATACACAACCAAATCTAAAAATATTTAAAACACAATCTCAATTCATACATAAACCATCATCAAACCAAATGAAGAAAATAATTTTACACATTCCATTCCTCATTCCCCTCCCCCTCCCCCTCTCCTTCAATTAATTTGTAGCATTGCTTCTGAATGAACCCAACGCCTTGATGGCTGCAGCCCTCAATATATACTGGTGGTATGCTGCAGCTGCCAACGCACCCACAAATGGTCCCACCCAAAAGATCCACTGCATTTACATAAACCCAACCAAACCATCAGTTTAACCACCATGCTATAACAACTTTTACAATATGCATTAAAACCAGTATTCAAAAAGATCAACTTACTTGGTCATCCCACACTTTTTCATTGTTGTAAATAACAGCAGCACCAAAGCTCCTAGCTGGGTTGATCCCAGTTCCAGTAATGGGTATGGTGGCCAAATGCACCATGAAAACAGCAAACCCAATTGGCAATGGAGCCAAAACCTACACAAAAGTACAAGTTTCAGTGCACGATGTACAAGGTAGAAGCAAGTAAAGTAAAAGCAGAGGAGGATATTGGTACAATTAAGTAATACATACAGGAACGTGAGAATCACGTGCACTCCTTTTAGGGTCAGTGGCAGAGAAGACAGTGTAAACAAGGACAAAGGTGCCAATAATCTCAGCACCAAGTGCAGTACCCTTGTTGTAGCCAGGTGCAATGGAGTTGGCACCACCACCCAGTGAGTTATAGGGTGATTTCATGAAGGCCTTCACCAAACCCACACCACAGATCGCACCCAAACATTGTGCAACCATGTACGCCACGGCCCTTATTAGCGACACCTTTCTTGCCAAGAAGAGTCCGAATGTAACCGCTGGGTTAATATGACCACCTGTACAGTTTAATTTAACCATATAAATAGTGTGAGATTACTCCATGCAAAAGTCTTTGAGCTCGTTATATACGTTTAAAGCAATTAATGACAAGTTATTGAAGTTTGATGACCTGAAGGTACAAAACTGTTAATTGTACACTACGTTAGTGACGGGAATGGGACAGAGAAACGGCGTCGTTTGGCGTTTTCCTTATAAAGTTGATGAACCATAGAAGGAAGAAATGGGAGCTTACCGGAAATACCGGCGGTGCAGTAAACAAGGATGAAGATCATGCCACCGAAGGCCCACGCGATGCCGAGTAGGCCAACGCCGCCGCATGGGTCAGATTGATTCTTGTAACCGATGACGGTGGCGACGGTGATGTAGAGGAAGAGGAGGGTGGCGACGAACTCGGCGATTAGTGCTCTGTAAAACGACCAGAGCTTCAGCTCCGCCATGTCCATAAGGGGTGCCGGCGGTGGATCAACATAATCCCTTCTCACCGTTTCTCCGACCTCACTCACTTCTTTCGACATTTCTCTCTCTCTCTCTCTCTAGAACTCAGTGAATTGAGCTTCTGGTTATGGAGGTTTTGGGTGTCTTGCAAAGGTGGTGGGTGTTTGTCTTTATAAGAGGAAATGATTGAGTTTTGGATAAAGCAGAGAGGGTGTTTCCGGAAGTTTCAAAATGTGGAGAGTTATTTGCATAAAACTCCATGTATTTTTGAATTGTTCAAAAACTAACCTAAAAATCTCTCTGATTTGCAGTAATGAAATGGATTTAAAGGAATTTGAATTTTAAATTTATTTCAAATTTAAATTTATTTTAATTTTATATTTGATTTGTTGGGTTGTATCGATTTGAAATCCTATAATTTAATTAAAATTCTATAATTATAGGATTTTGAAATCTATAAGGATATTCGGGATTCACAAAATTTTATAACATTGTATGAAATAGAGTTTTAAAAAAAAATATCAAAAACATTTGTTTTGTAATAATCAATTAATAAAATTATATTTTTATAATTTTTTTTAAATAATAAAATCCAATTTCATTCTAAATCCTATAAACCAAACACACCAATGATTTTAAATCTATTCATAAAATTCAAATCCTTTAAATAGACTGTTGAACAGATGAGGGATTTTATAATTCTACAAACCAAACAAATCCCTCATCTGTTCAACAATCTATTTAAAATCACTGTATAATTTTCAAATTGTTATCCTCAAGACTTTAGAAACTTAATTGAGTTACATATATTAATTGATTTGAACACTCACGACTACCCAAAAACGCTATTATTAGAACGATATTTTTCAAGCCATCAAACTCGAAAACACAAAGAAACACTGATTGAAGTTGGAAATTTATTGTGTTTGGCTGAACAGGTTAAGTCGAAGGAGTAAATTAGAAGTTTCATGAAAATACATGGCCATTTTAGTAATTACAAAAGAAAAAGGTAGGAAAGGTAGTGGAAGAGGTAGGGCCCACAGGAGTACAGCAAAACCCATGTGAAGGGGTAATCAGTGTTTTCTTTGGGTGTAGGGGCCCTAATCCCCTGTGGGCACTTCCTTGACAGCCTATCATACACCGCACTCATGTACAACGGTCTAAATGCATGGCATGGGCCCCATTTATCTCCTTTTCTTGTATTTATCCCTTGTTTGGAATGTTTACAGCTAAACCTTGTGTCGTTGGTTTTGTTGTTTTTGTTATATTCCAAACACGTCCTTCAACTTTTGTTTTATTACAGCTTTTACCCTTAACTTTTTTGGACTTTGGGGTCACATGTGAGTCACCTGGCATCCTGAATTTGTGGCTCACACTACCAACTTTCAGAAAGTATTTAACTTTTGTTGTTTTTATCCAAAAAAAAAAATGTCTTTGAAAATATGTATTTGAAATATATAAATGTATATGTTTTCATCAAAGTAATTTTTTATGGTTTGTAAAATATTTATTTTGTAGAATATATTGTTAGGGTATATTTTTAAATGCAATTATGTACATTTGTACAACCAATGTAACTCAATCAATTTAAATATTTATGAAAATGATGAGAATTCATTTATTATGATTTGAATATTTATGGAAGATGACTAGAGTTCGGTAATTATGATCAATACTTTATATTAGAAAACAATTAAAACTTTTATTAAACCACATATTCATCAAATTAAATTGACGATTGAGATTGAATTGTATTGATTGTACAAATATAAAAGTTTGCATAACAACTCAACTCTATATTTTTAAAGGCAAGTCAAAATCTTTTATTTTTAAGATAATTGTAAAATTAATGGAATAAATTATATATAGGAAATGTACATATTTTCATTTTGGGAACATCATTTTTAATATGATGTATTTAAGAGTGTTAGAAGGCTATTTGTGCAATGTATCGAGACACATCTAGATTTCAATGTTTCGTTTTATTATTCATCTATGTTGATATAATAAGGTTTATATTGTTTTGATAAAGTGTTAATGTTTTTATTTTTGAATAAAATATAAATTTTAAAATATCATAAAATTTTGAGGAAAAAATATGTGGATATTAGTATTAAACTAACGATTTAAAAGTTATTGTTTTGTGTAATTTCTTTTATTTAATTTTTTTTATTGTAATTTAATTTAATGTAACGAAGTAATTATTTAGGTTTAATAATATAATTTTTTATAAAAATAATAATTAAGTATTCTGTTAGAATTCAATGGTTATCCTAACTATATTTTAGATTTTTGATATTTAAAAAATTAGATATTTATCATGTATATGATCATGTTTATCTGCAATTAGTTATACGAATTCTAACATTAAGCTTTAGTAAGTTGTATTTACTTGTAATATTGAATTTTAAGTAATATGCATCAATAAACAGTATTTCTTGCATAAAAAATAGTTTTTGTCAAAGGTTTTATAATCTATACTATATTATAAAACATTTGGTAAAAACTCTTAAAATTATTTTTTATACATAAAGTATTGTTTATTGATATGCATATTACTTGAAATTCAATATTACAAGTAAAAAAATGCATAAGTACAACTTATTAAAGCTTCATGTTTGAGTTCGTGTAACTAACTG